TATGAAAGTCTCAAATGACATGTTGTCATCTCAACCTATGGATTATTTAAATTCTAGAAAGTCAATGGCATGTTGTCACTTATTGAAAACTAGTCAAACCTATCATGATTTATCTTTGTAAAAGTAAGTTAGATTAAAATTATCATTCATTTCTATGGTATCATCTCAAGTAATATATATATATATATCTCAAGCAAGTTTTGAGAGTTCATTGTGTGAGAATTTGTTTCATTAAAATGAATTTGAGTTTCACTACCCTCTTGAGTATTGATGAATGTTTGTAATTGAGTGATGAATGAGGAGTTTGTGTGAGAAAGTGTCTAAGACACAAACACATTGAAGAATCCTAGCTTGTAGAACCATGATGAATTATCAAAAAGCATTTGAGATAAACTTGAATGAGAATTAGCCCAAAGTCATGGAGCTGAATCCACATAACAACATACACACATTATCTAAATTTGAAGATCTCTTACCAATCATCATTGCATCATTTTGCCCAACATGATTTGTCGGTTCTTCTAAAGTTTGAAATATAAAAGAGTCTAAGCCAAATCTTCAGACTTATTAACTCTATATGGCCAAACTTTGACATTGCAAGATAGGTCATGCCAACTACCAGAAGCTCCATTTGATGAAAGTTCCACTCTAAGAAGTTGGCTGCATGAATTCCTCATATTCATCACATTATATCTTCATGTGTTACCTGTTTCAAAGCAAAGCAAAGCCAATACCGTATTTCTAAGCACTCTTGTAATCAAACCATCTGTTCATTACAATTGTTCCACTTTGATTTATGCAAGACTCTTACTTTTGAATCTCTAACAAAGAAATTGTACATATTGTTTTTTATTGACGATTTTATAATCTATACCTGGATTTCATTTTTAAGGGCAAAAAACGAGCAATTTCATGATTTCAAAATTATGGTGGAAAATAATTACAATCACAAAATTGCAAATGCAAACAGACAGAGATGCAAAATATTTCTCTAAGACTTATCATGCTTTTAACGTATAGTCACTTATCCATCATGCTTTACCTTCTGCGTACATTTCACATCAAAATGGAGTTTCTGAGCAAAAGAATAGGACTGTGTTTGAGATGGCCACAAGCTTACTTCTTTATGCTCAATGACCAAAGACTCTCTAGGAGAAAACCACAAGTAAGGTGGTTTATATCTTAAACCGTCTGTCAACAAAGGCTGCGCAAATGTCAATGTCCCTCAGCAGTTGATAGATCTCATCTTGAATGTCAAACACCTTAGAGTCTTTGGATGTGTGTCTTCTATTTTACTTACAATCAAGTTCAACAAACTTTGTGCTAGGTACTTGAGAGTTACCTTTATAGTTTATGACACTCAATCAAAAGCATATCGTATGTATGACATTATTAGTAAAAATGTTTACATAAGATCTAATGAGTATATCTTTAGACTCGCAGCTCGCTACGATACCTAACTTGTTGAAGATTCTATTATTCTACCGTTTAAGAAATTGAAACCTCAATCAAGGACCTGCTCTATCAAAATTGTCTTTAAGGACGTTTTACTCACTCACGCTACACCTCATTTTTTTTTAATTCCAAACCTACTCATGTGATAACTCTGTTCATTCTCGGATCCATTCTCTCTTATTTAGAAACAACATCAACGGCCACTTTTACTTCTTATGCCTCATCTTTTTCATCTCCACCAGATGAACCCTCCTTTGAGAGTGAATGATTTCACAACTCAAGTCCTACTTTTGACAATCTTGACACAAACACGACGACTAGTTTGGATTGTATCGTAGAGGATTTGCCAATCAATTTGCTCATCACATCTCGTTCCAAGCATCTTCCAGCTTACTGAAAGTACTATGTGAGCTAGAGTGCCAAGTTTGTTGAAAATACAATCAAATGTTATGAAGTTGAGCTCATCGACTACATGAGAGTATAATTCATCTTTGACAAAGCAATGAAGATTTTTGAAGGGCACTTGTTGATGTTTGATGAGTTGAACTCCATTCACAAAATTGTACATGTACCTTAGTCAAGCTACCCCAAGGAGCAAAGATATAACATGCAAATGGATGTTTTGGGTTAAAGAGATCCAAAATGTATCTCCATCCCTTTCCAAGTCTTGTTTGTAACAAGGGACTTCTAACAAAAAGAAGTCAAGGACTACAACAATATATTTGCTGCTATTGTGAAGTGGTTCTCTGTATGATCTGTAAGACCAGATATTGCATGTGTGAAATGAAACTAGAATTAGCCAAGGAATTAATCATGGTTAGGATAGTTATGACTAAATCTAGCTAGTTATGACTAAGTCTAGCTAGTTTAGCTATAATGTCTATACTTGGCGGAATAACTAGAGAAGTTCTAGAAGATTTGAGTGAGCACTTCTATTTTGTCTTGTACAAAAGTCTAGATTCCAAGAGAAAAGACTTTTGAACTTCATGTTTAGTTTTGATTGGTTTGACTAAAGTAAGTAGTATTCCATTGGTTAGACTAAGTCTTATGTTGACTTAGTGGAAAGTGGAAGTTCTAGAAGTTGGAAAGGCACAAATGGCATGTCACCACCTCAATCTAGGGATTAGTAAACATCTAGAAGGTTTAGGGGGCCAATGGCATGTTGCCACATATTGATAACTAGTCAACCTTACTATGGTTTATCTTCGTAAAAGTAAGTTAGATAGAAATTACCATTTGTTACTATGGTAAATTCTCAAGTAGTATATATAGAGAGGTAGGGAAGAGCCTCTCAAGCAAGTTTGGAGAGTTCATATGTAGAGACTTGTTTCATATATGAAAGAGTGACGAATTTTCAGTACCTTGGAGTGTCAATGAGTGTATGAGTTGGAGTGATACCTTGAGAGATTGTGTGAGAGGGTGTTTAGGTTATGAATATGATGCGGAATCCTAGTCTTCTAGAATCATAATAAGCTACCGAAAAGCCATCTGAGGTAAACCTGAGTGAGAGTCAGCCCGGAGGTTGCAGATCTGTGTCCACCATTGATGGTGCATGCGTATGGCTAGTTTGTCACTTGATAACAAAATTGCTTTCTTAAATAATATTCTTTCACAAAACCTCTATGTAAATCAATCACCTTGATTTATTAGGAAAGGTTTTGAGGACTTTGTATGTGAACTTATTAAAGCGCTTTATAATTTAAGACAAGCATCAAGGGTTTAATACAAATGTATAGACTTATATATAAGACTAGAAGTCTAGATGGGTTGTAAATCAAATCCTAACCTTTATATTTTAAGGGAGGATTTTTTTCACAGTAATCTTGATGCTCAATTTAGACAAGATTACATAACAAGAAACAATCAATTGAAAATTTCTAAGATTTAGTAAGATCTAATGCGTCAATATGAAATGAGTGATTGAAATGAAATCCACAAGTATTTAGGAGTAGAGTTCTCTTTAACACCACAATGACTATATCATAAGAGTCTTAAAAATAGATTCATATGCTTACTGAAGTCCATCTACATTAGCAATCGAAAATACTAGCTTTCTGTTTGTAGATACTACATTTTACAAAAAACTAGTTGGCCAACTATTTTTTGCTACTAACTCCAAATTGGAAATTTGTTTTGTTGTGGAACAACTCTCCCGGTTTATGTCAGCACTTCATGACTCTCATCTTAAAATTGACCTCCAATCTTTGCAGTACATCAAGGATACTTGAGATCACAAAATATTATTCAAATGAGGATATCCATTACACTTGTAGTGATACACACAAATGGGAAGTGGATCTCTTTTCAGAACACATTCAAATCTACAGGTGCTTACACTTTTACACTCGTTGGAGGTACAATATCATGATGTTTTCTCAGAAGCAAAATCTCATCTCTCTCCTCTACATAGAGTGAATATAAGGTCTTGTACTTTGGTGCGGAGCAGTCTGTTTGATTTCACGCAACAGTTTGGCTAAGACAACTATTGCATGAAATCACAACGCCTCTGTCCTTCAAAGACATTGATGTGACTTTTGCTTTTTCTACTCCTAATTCACTAATTGACTCCATGACGGTTCATTGTAGTATTGAGAGTACAATAAAACTTGCCAAAAATCCAAATTTTCATGCAAGAGGTAAGCACATATGAATCCAACATCATGTCATTAGGGAGCGGGTACCTTTGACAGAGATTCCTCTCTACAAAATTACAGCTAGCAAATATGTTGACCAAGGCTCTTCCTAGGGTTAAGTTTAATCAGCACCAACACCAACGTTATCTTGGTCTACGAAGTCTGATAACGATATGCGAAAAATCTCTGATGATTTCAATCTCTTGGTCTACCGTCTTTGCTGGTCGAACCGATCGATCTACTATTTCATCTTAAGCACCTTACGCAAATTACTGAAAAGCCAAATTCTTAATCTGCTATCTCCCATCAACTTAAGTATACTCCTGGTATATGGCTTCAACATATCACATTCTGGTTGAAAGCACAAAGTCTCCATCCGGAATGACTGGATCAAGAAGGGATTTACATCTACTAGACAATGGTAAGCAGGCAGAATGTTATCTATCATTGGGCAAGGCACAATATTTCCCGGAAAATTATGCCTTTCAAGAGGCCACCCATGACCTCCATATTGGGATCCAATCCCAAAGTGCCCTCCGCGAGTTTTCTAACCACGTGTATAGTCTCTTGACGTAGGACATCAAGCGCAACGCTAGGAGGCAATCACAACTTACGGCTTTTAGATTTAGGTTCCACGATCGTTCTAGTTTCTAGATTACAACTAGGCAAAATTATTTCTTCTTCCAAGTGTGAACACTCCAGTCGATAGATTCACAGTCGTCGTTTGTGTATTTAAATGCTTTCATCTGCGTGTGGTAGATGTTTCCATCGCCCCTCCCACTAAAAATATGGAAAGGATATACAATTCTAATAATGTGCAGAGAAGAGCCAGGCAACGCCTAGGGAGAAGCGTTTACTGGAAACAAAGGGATGGGGTCGAATGGATGGATCGAGCACTGAACGTCCTTCAGTAGTTTATTCGAATTAAGCTGAAGATGCCGGTCCTTTACACAGGCTACATGTATCGACGATCTGTGCTTATCTCGGAGAACGACCAGCAAAATGTTCAAGGCAGGAGTCTCTGATTTCTGTCCTCTATGCTGGTAGACCGAACCTGCTACGAATTGTTCAGTATCGGCTGAAGACAAACTAGATTGTGAACTACTTGACGTCACCGTCCTCCTTCAGACAAGTGGCGTGGAAAACTCACAGTGGACTCACAGATCCCGTGCAATGTTCAACCAACCTGGGCTTTGAAACGCAAGGTTGACCAAACATTAAACCGGGCATTTGAGCTGAACCATACTCCAAATTCGAGAAAAAAAGACGATTGCAAAGCGTCCTAAAAACCTGCTCTTTCAAAATTAGTTTAAGAGTCACTGTCCTTTCCAAGAAAAGACAAAAAATACAAGCGACTAAACTGCAGGCAATTCTGCGAGACATTAAACGAGACTGCGCAGAGATGCATATAACCATCCTTAGACCTAGGGCTCTTCAGACAATGACACTAAAAGAAGAGCATTTTTAACACCCACAAAGTGGGTACTGCCAAGTTGGGAAATGTATCTATCCAATAAGTACGACTCTCATCAACAGACATTCACAGTGACTGTACATCGTTCGCTGGTGTTCAGAAATGTGTCTGACCGAGAAATTATACCGCAGCAACCTTCTCGCAGTTAATGACCTTCCCATCTTGAGTAACCACCTGCACTTCCACGAGCACCCGTACCCCCATATGACACACGGTCGTCATAAGTACCTCCGGCGGCGTAAGCACCTCCCCCTTGACTAGCTGGGCCATAAGATGCTCCAGTGTCATAATCTGGGGCACTGCTACCATAACCTCCACCGTATGACGCGCCATAGCTACCCCCGGCAGAACCATAACCGCCACCCCCACGGGCTCCATATCCTCCACTTCCGGCCTGCGGACATTCCCGAGAGATGTGACCCTCTTGGCCACAGGTATAACAAGCGCGCGATCCACTCCTGCCACCTCCGCCTCCAAAGTTACCTCCATACCCTCCTCTACCACCACCGACTCCTCCACTTGGGCATTCCCGCGAAAAGTGTCCCATCTGCCAAAACTCAACACTCGTGTCAGAAGCTCGTATGTAAAAAAACATGCAAGCAAGAGGTCAGGTTTTGACAAGACGTCACAAACTAAAAGTATCAAGCAAAACGACGTCCAAACGTCTGAGCCAAGCAGCACGTTATACCTCTCCACAACTGAAACACTGTGAGCCAGCACCCTTGCCACCTCCGGCACCACCGCCTCCTTTGGCACTCCAGGTATCACCATAAGATCCTACCCTGTCAGAGTCACGATCTTTGCTCCTACCAAAGTTGTTATAACTATCGTGACTTTCAACCCCGCCATAACCGCCCCCGACAGGCAAGGCAGCTGCAGGTAATCGCTCATCGTCTCTCCTCTTTTCGTATGGGCGTCTTAGACCACCGGTCTGAGCGGTTTGGACTGCCATTTTCTGCATGCCAGAAGATATATTATAATACTTTGCTGAACAGCCAACACAAATCATTGAATTCGGTTATCTTCCAAGGCACCCGTTACTACAGGCACAGGTCTTAGTTTCTCATTTCCAGCACTCAACTTGATCCACTTGTTCTACTCAACATGCCACGAAGGTGGCATGTTGAGTAGAACATTCCTATGTTTGACAGCAAGCATGACACAACCCTGGCGTCCAGCCCACCAAAGTGCTACCTATCGAAATCAATGCGTTGGACAGTGTAGGAAACTGTAAGTCGAGCATGTAGAGCACGTTCTTCCTTTTAGGGGCCAAATCTAACAGGCGCTACGATAAACTCTCCATTCAGACAGCCTAGGTCTCGTGAAATTCGCAGTCCGACAATTTCAAACGGTGTTGAAAATCCGGATGTTGATCTTACCCCACCCGGATAACAACTAAGAATCAAGATGAAGTATACACAATTTACTCTACTGACACTAAACGAGGATGAAGTAGAGCTGGAGTACCTCAAAAGATGCCAAAAGCTCCTCAAGCTTTTTCTCCATATTCGCAACTTCCTCTTTCATAAGTTTAGATTTGACAGGATCGACTTCCTTCTTGAGTTCACTTTTTGCAAACGCAAGCTCTGCTTCAACCGCTTTTTTCTCTTCTCGTTGAGACTCTGATAAGACGATCTGAGACGGAAAAAGACAAATGGATCACAAGTCAGTTATACTGCACACCAACAACAAAATTTCTATCTCCATGCCGAAGTAAAAACCACCACAAACTGCTAGGGAAATCATCAACACTATGGGTTCTACAATTATTTTCAACACAATAAGTTAGGTTATTGAAGGCAAGGCACTAAGCGCTAATAGTTCCGCCCTTCTAGCGTACAAAGGCAGAGCACACATTTGAGAAAAATTTCAAATAAGTAACGCACAGGATTCTAGGTCAGAACAGGTTTGTTCTCCTTCCTCTGACAATTTCAAAACTATAGTGGTCGAAATGACAAGCTAGAGTTTAAATTTGAACAAGATTTATGCTGCATAAACCGCAACCGCAAGGATCAATCTCCAGGACTTAACCATGAGGACCAAACGACTCGGGCCACAGTGGAATATCATACAGCGGAAAGCTCTGTTGTGAGAATAAGTATGAACAAGACCAAGTGTAGATAATTTCTACTTTTGATTCTATTTAAAAGAGAATTGAAAGGTTTTACTAGGTTTAGAATCTCCATAGAGTAAGCCCTCAAAATGAGACGGTCAACTAGGAAGCGATTCTCCGGCAACCAAAAAGCGAAGGACCTCACAGAAGAATTCAGACTGCCACTCATACACATACTGAAAGAGATCACCAGATCATCCAGCCCGTTCTTTGAAAGCTTCTCCTTACATGAGCAAGGAGAGGATAGCTAAGTGAATGTCTCAACGAGACGGTAGCTTGAAAAGCTTCGTCAAGCCATTGTTGCGATTAGTTTCATTCTTTGCAATGTACTACTTCAGAACTGAAATAACATGGGCTCTTCGGCTGGATGAATGTTCTTTCCTCTTCAGTGGAAATATGGTAACAGGAGAAATGCCAGGGATAGAACGATCCAACTAATGGAACATGGGTGTCCTGAAAGTTCGACCGTTGACCTCTCTTATAATGACTCAGATAAACGAACCTACTCTGTACGATGAGATTGAAATTAACCCTAGGCTTCAATATTTTTATGAACGATGAACTGAACAATCTGCTTAGTCATTCCGCATTTGTCTGAAAATCGTCTCCATAAGGAAAACGAAATTTCGCAAAATCTGCCAATTTCTCCGGACACGAAAGGCGAGATTCACACTATCGTTCACGGATTGGCAAATCAGAAACCTTTTCTACCAATGAAAATTGTGAGGTAAAAACTGGTCGCCCTGCTAACCTTGCAACACATCATTCCCCACAGAAAGCTTTGTGCCCCAAATTGCTGTCGACAAAACATGGATTCAGAGCAAAGTACTCACACTTGGCTTCCATTCCTTTTGTGCTTGCTCTCTCAGAACTTCAGTCTCCTTCTTGCCTTCTCTTTCAGCAATTACTTGTTCTCGAGGTCGTGCCGCACCAAAAGGGTTGGGCTGCAAATTTGACAAAACAGGATATAAGACTGTCATTCCTCTCCAAATAATCGCTTGTGTGACCCGCCTTGAACCAGAAATTCCAGGAAAACGATGAACATTCATTTAAGCAAAGGGCCAAAAGCAGAAGAGTAATAACGCAGAGTTAGCTCAGATTGTAAAGTCAGGCACGATGTTCGACGTGGGTTCAATTTCTACAGGTCACATACTCCGCCATCCAGGTACTATTCCCCAACATTCCAGTAGGCCAGGGTTCTATGCCATGAAACCCTGTACAACTGTGATGCCAATCAGGATCCGACTATAACCTTCGCATCTGAGATGGATGGTCAAGATGCCGTTGATGGAAGAAAGATATCATTAAAGCAACCGACGACATCCATGCTACGTCACCATAAAAGATCATAAAGCTAACATCGACATCTGAGCAGTATGTACCAAGCTCTCGGTACTTCCTGCAGGTATTGAGCAGCAGATCGAAACGGGTAGAAAGATACAGAAGTCTGTACAACCATTCAAGCACTCTACGGTATTACATCTCGCAAATAGAACCTGGAGTGTGAAACCTAAGATGGTCGAAACTAGGAATACAGATCGGAAAGTAGTTATGCCTTGCTGGTTTTGGAAGGTGTAGAGGGTGCTTGATCGGCTCCAGATCCTCTTGGCTGCAGGCTAAGCTTGGGCCTGCCTGAACCCTCGTCCTCTGCGTAGCTCATTGTCACTCCACTTCCACGTTCCTTCTTGAGAACCTGTCACAACAATCCAATCCTTACCATTCAACAACATCGAGATGACTCTGAGACAAGACAGAGGCCACAACATGCCTCGTGGCGAACGATGAATAAACAAAAATGTCAACTACCTAGAACAAAAACGGGGTAGATCAGAAACCCCGCGCGCAGAAGAAAGAAGAGTGAACGGGCCGAAACGGGAAAAAGAAACAGAAGCAACAACAAGAACAACCGATACCGCCAACTGCTGACCGGAATGTCACTGTCAATCAATCAATCAATCAGCCGCGGACGCTACAAGATTCCACAATTCTCAAATCAGGACCCAACCGTTGACGCTGGCTACGCTAAGATATGGAGATTTCCCCTACTGCCCAAGCATGTTCATACTCGGTCGTGCTCAGCCTATCGAGCAACACCCGGAAGCATGCGAGCCCCGAGAAGAAGAAAAAAATAGCCCCGAAACTCGAATTAACCAGATCCTCCTTCCCTCCATCTTTTTCCCCGCCCGTCCCGAGCTCTTCTTTGCCACCCCCACCCCAACCATCCCAGCCCATTCCATTCCATTCCATTTCATGCCATGCTTTCCCTCGAAACGCAAGGCGTGCTGCTCACCTGACTGAACAATGGAAGGATTGCTCAACGCCGCGGCAGCGTAGTAAAGCGCGCAATATGTAAAAGAAATCGACTCACGGCTGCGCTCCGGCACTCTTGTTGTTCAAAGAAGGAAGAAGGAAGGGAGGTGCGCTGTGGCTGGTCTCCTCTGGTCAGGTCTCGCGGCCTCGCCTCGCCTTCAGCGGCAGCTGCTCCCTCGGACCCGCCCGCCCGCCCGCCTGCCTGCCTCGACCCTCCTCCGCCCTCGTCGCCACGGGCCGGGCCGGGCCGGTACCCGCTCTGCGAGCACGCAACAGCGCGACGCCCGGCACCGGGTTACCCTAATCGCGGAGCTCTAATGCACGGCTCCTTCCTTCGTCGGAGCCGGTCGTGATTGCGATTAGTGGCAGCTTGGCGGTTAGCCCGCGGAGCGTTTTCCTCTGCGGGAGGGCGGAGTTCGGAGGAGTGATGCTGATGCTGCTGGTTTCGTTATCCTCTCGCTTGCTGCTCCTCCTGAGCATGGGGACCTCTTCCGCGCGAAAGTCGCTGGCGCATTATTGGTTTTCCGTCTACTATTTTTAGAGAGTGGAATCCTCGTTGCCATTCACGAGCGACCTTCTTCTTGCGAGGCGACACTCTTCCCTTAGCTCTGTCTTCCTTCTCCCTCCCTCCTTCCTTCCCTTGCCATTCAGTTGTGAGAAGGATCTCACAACTTCCTCGGACTGTCCTTTCGCTTTCGCGCATGTTAAGATCCCGGAAGAACTCGACTTGGATCTACACTGTACTTCATCGTTGAAAATTCTTTTGACCGGATTGAACAAAGTACAACCCTTGTCTTCACAAATCCTTGTCTTTGGGTCTCCGCACTTGTGTGCATGGATTGAACCAGGTGACTAAGTTACGTCTGTGTTAATGTGGCACAATAACGAATAATTAGATATTGTGCTGAAGAGTTAATACATGTGCTTAGTCTTACTGATTAATAATACTTAGTCTTCCAGTCAAGTACTTTTGGTCATGATAACATGCTTTTCTAGGTTATATATATTCTTAACTTGTGGTGATAAAGAATGACAGATCATGAAAAATACATGTCACAACGGTATCGTAGAGAAAATTCCAAGTCACAAACATTTGATAAAAAACTTTTCTTTAAAGTTAAAAGATAATCTGAAGATGTTTGTAGATAATGAAAACCAAGTTAAATCATTTGAATTCAAGCTTATTCAAAAGTTAATGTTGTATTTAAACCGTATCATTAAAGTATCTACTTTCTTTGGTAGTCTATTTTGAAAAAATGCCTTTATATATATGATGTCATTTGAGTTTAATGATTTGGGAGTTACAAATGAAACGAAACTTATATTTCATTGTAATGTCATGGAATTAATTCCATGTAGTATATTTCCAAACTTTTGTTAATTTACTTCATCTACTATGTTATAGTAATATATGATATTTCCTATGCCTTATGTATTGCATCATTCGAAATTTTAATAGACTAATTCAAACAAAAATTTACAAAAAATGCTTGAAGATAAACTATGAAGTGATAATATCGTTGCCTCTTGTAATTCTCTTGTTTTCTCTTTTCACAAAACATATCAAAAGATCTTGAAAATTTCCATATCATTCATTGCTTGTTCAAAAAGATCAATTAAAATTTTATTTAAATCACATCTCAAATAATGTTATAAAAATAATCACAATATATGTCTCAAAAAGGATTGATTCAATTTGATTGATTACAACACACATCAAAAGTTATTATATACAATAATAACTCCATAATTTTTCAAAACCACGTGATAAATAGCTTTCGTTTAGATTAAAAAACAAGTCATGTAAAACGATTTGCATCTTTATAAAATCTACAGTTACAGGTACAATTTATGCAAATTTATAATATAACAAGCTTGAGTTTCATAAAAAATAATAATTTATAAAGTTGTATAACATAATGAAATCATGATACATATCCATGAAAGTTTGATGTAATTATATAATAGGCATCTAATGCAAAAAATATCTGAATTCAATGAAAACCAAAAATCTTAATTAATAATTGTTTCATAATTTTACTTTAATAAAATCATCATTTTGAATATAAACATTGTATACTTTAATCATAAAATAAAATTACTATATTTATTTCAGTTTACACATCTATTTGTATATCTGAATATGATAATTCAGTGTTTTCAAGCATCACATATTGACTATTTCAAATTTCAAATCTCAAGTAAAGAAAATATGATATATTTTATTTACAAATAGATTAAAAAGTATATATTAAAATATATTTTATCATGAATAGAAGATAAATAGTGGATTAATATAACAGAAGTGGATAAATAATTTTATAAATATATATTTCTTTAAATTTTTATTATAATATTTTCACAAATTTAACACAATGTAGCATTCAATATTCATGATTTTTTAGATTTTATAGACAATTAATAATATATATATAATAAAAAATTTTGATAACAAAATAATCTTGGCATTTTATGATGAGTAAGTAAATATTTTTTTTTGAATGAAACATTAAATGAACCAATCTAACATAAGCTTTTGTGGTTATAAATTTCAATACACATTATAAAAAAATCTGAAAATAAATAATATCACTTTAATGAGGTAAAATAATATTATAGAGTTGAAACAAATTGATCAATTCATATACACAATCGTATATGCATAGAAATTTCAAAAATATGAAATAAATTGATGATTAGTAATGTTATTATTTATAAGATCAGTATTGTAATTGATTTTTCAATTAGTTGATATTTTGAATATATTAATTTCAAGAATAATATCATTAAGATTTATATTAAATATATGTATGAGTGTTTTCAATAAGCTAAGCAGAGACTATTAATTGAAACAAATTGTCATTTTATCAAAATATGGATTTTAACAAAAATGTAATTTATATATATATATATATCATTTGTATTTAAATAATATTTTTCATAATTTATAATCAATCATGCATAATTCGCTGCTTGAATTAGCTAAATGATCGTATGCTTTTCAGTATAAATTACCTATGGAACAACTAGGTTTCAATTGGTTTAGAACCGTATTAGAGTGTAATGGTTTAGGATATCTTGATATGAAAATGAAAAATTGTCTCTTCAAATAAAAAAATTGTTTTGACATCGAGTATTAGCTATAAGAGTAGCATCAAAATGTTAATAGACTCTTTGCGACAAATTTTGAGCTTAATTATAAACGTGTTGCAAGGAAACAAGGTATGACTTGTTTCCATAAAACTTATGAGTGCTTAACACTTAACACTTGTATTTCTCTTGAAATACAAGCTCAAGTAGTGTTAAAGATTTGGTCTTGTTTGCCACTTGCATGCATCAAACAACTATCTAGCAAACAGTGTATTAACGAATGATTCATCAATTGAGACAATTGGTCAAAAATTTGATTAAAAAAATTTTCCGCCTCAATGTGCACAATTTCAATCGATCTTTCACTCACAAACAAATCATCATTACAAAAATTTGTTATTTTGATACCAATTGTTACAAAAAATGAAGTTTTGATATCAATTGTGATTGAAAATTTTCAAGATTTCATAAAATCTACTCATTGAAAAATTCACAATCATGATGTTGACAAGTTATTCTTAGACTACATCTACAACAAAATGTTCAATAATAGTTGGCATTTGCCTTACTTTATACACAGGCTAACTTTCATCTACATTGTTCTGACTCTAACTAAAATTATACATAAATGTATTTTTAATAAAAGTTAGGTTAACTAGTTATCATCCTAAATTTGAGTTGATATCAACAAATTAATGAACATTATATCCATTACATCTTAGTTCATCATGTATCTATTAGTTTTTCAATCTGTTATTGATTAGACACTAATGCTAAAATTTTGTAATATAATATTTATTAAAAATTTTATTATATATTGATATTAATGAAAATTTCATTACATATTATTGCATAATAATTATTGATCTTTTACAATATATTTTAATACATGACTTAAATTTTTTAGATTGTTAGATAAGATTGATTTTTAAAAACGATTTAATATGAAAAATTTAATTATTTGTAATATTATATTTATTTAAAGATTTAACAAAAAGATATTTTTAATACTATTATGATTCTCAATCAACAAATTTGTTTTCAATAGATATTTCAATAATATTTTTTCAATTGATACAAGGATAAAAATGAAATAATGTTTTGATATAAATATTCTATAATTGATTCATAAATAATTATATTTTAGATTGAAAAAAACATGTACTATTAGAAAATAAAAAATTAAATAATTTTTAAAAAATATTAATTTTATGTTAAGCATATTGTTACTAAGGAAAAATTATCATTTAAAAAAATATATACTTATTTAAATCTGATTTAAAATAATAATGTCATGAATATTTAGCTCAGAAAAATCTGAATTCATTACTTTTTAATGAAATGAACTTATTTTAAATATTTTATTTCATACGTGTGTTTGTTAGTTAATTTAATTGATGATATATTCTATGTGTATAATATGTATATTAACAATCTGTATTATGAACAGTTGTTCAAATTTAAAAATGAAAAAAAATCAATCATTTTTATGACTGGTAAATATATACAAATTTTTGTGTTAATTTTAAATTATATCAAAAATTGAATAAGCTTCATATGTGATATAAAAGTAAATGAATATCAATTTTGATTAACATAAAAAATTTCAAATGAAGTAATTTTTACAATTAAAACTTTTTGTTAGATCAAATACATTAAAGTTTTTTTGTCACAATAATTATTAAAGCTAGTTGCAAAAAGTGATCAAAACTATATTTAAATAAACTATTCATTAATTTTGAGATTTTCACATTATTTTTCAGAGGTATTCACAAGCTTTTTTCATGTTTGCAATGATAAGAAGATATTTAATTTTCAAATGATTGAGATTTAGAGTAAAGTTGTTCACAAAATAGTATATTTTTTTAATATTATATTCAATAGGATGTTAGATTTTTTTATAATTTATTCAATATTTTCCGTTTAATCAAATTATAAAATCTATCTATTAACAACAGATTATTTAATTATTTTTTCAAGAAGATTTGAATTATCTTTTATCTTTAATTCATAATTTTCAAAAACAAAACTCAAATTTTTTTTTAAACATTTTTTGATAATATGCTACAAACCTTATGACATTTTGAATAATCATTTTAACTTTAAAATATGAATGAAATTTTGTATATTTTGAATATATCATAAATTTTATATTCAAAATTTCAAAATTAATTAAATTAAATTTATTTTTTTGAAATATTTATTTTGAAAACCTTAAATTCCATTTTCGGGCTTGAATAGTACTTAGAAAAGTTAACATAGTTTTGAATGATTGAGTTTTTTTTTTCATTAATTTAAATACATGTTTTATATATGTATTTAAATTTAAAAGTATATGATATATAAATATATTTATTCATGAAATAGTATAGTTATTAGTCACTTTTGACTAATTATCACTCACGCTACTATATTTTCTTATGTGATTTGTCGATGCATGATTATAGCTTCCGTGGTATGTATCGTTTTTGTTTCTAAAATAGGGAGTTTTTTTTATTCCCCTCTGCGTCCAAGCCGCCTTCATGACAGACGCCACGTTAAAGCCATACTTGCCAAGTCAAAGCCGTCTCATAAGCTCAATTTTCAGAAAGATCTAGATTGAAATGAATATTGAAAAAGTATGATCATTGAAAAAACGTACACTTTCAAACTTGATGCATTCGGGAATATATGTTATATTCTTGTGCAAGATCAGAAATACATGTCAAGATGGCTGGGATATCCTAGACTCTTTAATGCTATTGAAAGAGAGAAACACAACTGTATTTTGCACATCTATTCCTCAACCTACATCCACGCATGCCACTAACAAAACGGTAACAACATGACCATTAAATAAGAAATGTTGTACACTTACATTATATTTCATAAATGACTATCATGACATTATTCAAAACTTGATTGAGTACTTACGTCTTACACAACTACAATTAGATTATTTGGATTCGCAACATGTATGAAAAATCAACAATTGTCAAGCTGAATGGACTCCGAACATTTTAGATTGCCTTGCGGCGGAGTCCAACATTAACAATGAAGTGTTTGCCAGAGTAAATTATAGACCAAAGGTCAAAATCATAATCACTTTTGCGGCATCATAAGCTCTCTCTAGATCTGAATCAAGCTCAACCTATCAAGTGCATGAATAGAATAGAATCCGACACGTTTCGCAAGCTCAACTTCAACGTAAAGTGAACTCAGATTGTTAGAACAATCGGACCAAGTCAAATCCACTGCATGCTTGAGACTTAGGGACCTTGCACAAGAATTGAGTATAGTCAGAGCTTCCATGGCTTGTGATTCATATGTATGTGTGTTAGTTGATTTTTTTTGTTCAAGATGCAAAGTCAAGTCGTGACATATTGCAAATGTGATTCCGCATGTTCAGTTCAAATCTTTCTGAGAATTGAGCAAGGGAGGCGGCTTTGACGTGACGTGACAGGCTTGACTTTGCGGTGACGTCTGTCACAGAGACGGTTTTGACGCATAGAAGAAAGAAATAAATCCCATATTCTAAAAGTAATAACAACCCACGTCATGAAAGCTATAACCTTGCATCGATCAATCACTGAAGAGAGTAGTAGGGTGAGGTATAGTTAGCCAAAAACGAGTTATAACTAGGCGCTACCTTATTTATTTATTTGTTCTACATATTTTTATAGATAAATGTGATTTCATATCAAATTATGTATTGTTTTTCACATTGAAATTTAGTATGTTGCATTTATGATTTTTATTTTTAAATTATATTTCAACAAATTTATATAAATAAATAAATTTATTCATCAATTTTAACAAAGTCAATAGATAATTCACACCGATAGCGATAATGATTAGCGGCTCTACTTTTTGTTTAGAATCACTTATGTAACACACTGTCTTATGAAAATGATATTGATGTCAAATTATGATAAAACATGCATTGTAAGACAATAATGACAGTATTTAAGCTATATTGATGAAAAAATTTAAATGTAAAAACATTGGATGCTTGAAATTTTTTAAAGATTTTGTTTAAAAGAATGTCATAGTTTGAGTAGACAAGAGTTCAGGAGAAAAATTAAACATACTCTACACAAGAAGTGAAAACATAAGATCATACACAGCTTGTGAATGTTGAGTCATACACAAATATATTCTATGCATTGAATAGAAGCAACGTGCATATTGTGATCAAAATGTTTGGAATGAAAATGATGAGATAACCAAGGATTTTTTCAACTAAAAGCTTCGTTTTGTAAATTTCATCTTATAAGTGAATTCAATGAGATGATGTTGTTTTCATGTTTTCAGATTTTCAGAGTGAAGCTTTGAACAAGTACATCATTCTTATATCCATTTGCGACAACATTAATGTACATTAAATTCAAATCTATGCTCCAAAACCTCTTACATTTGTGTCGTAAATTTTAAACACTAGAAAATACATCAAAAAATCTTGAAATATGAATACTAGTTATTGCAAGAATTGTTGTTGTAATCTCATCGTCTATCATCAAATTCCTTATCCTCTTACTTAGTACCGACATACTAAACGATCTTTCCTCTCACTTCACAAAAAAGTACACCCTTCCCTGTTCTTTACCCATTTGGCTGGACATAAATCTTTGGCACACTAGACTAAGAAGCAACTTCATTTTTTTCTCATTCGTAGCAGTAAAAGCTTAAAAGTATGGAGTCCAAAATGAGTCTCTCACATTCCCCGTTGTTTCACAATTTATTTTGTTTCACAAATTCTCCTTGACAGGAAAATCTCTTATACTTGTCAGAAGTCATGTCATAACAACCTCAAAACCTAGTTGAACCCTAAATAATGAGTTTGGCCAACCTGCATCTTGAAGACTTTTTTAATTTTTGCTCACTAGTGTACACTGATTGATTTTACACAATATATTGATATACAAACTAATTAAGGTGAGATTGTAAAATGTATAGATTGTGTTCGCGTCGGGATTCTGATTCTAAACCTATATGTAAACCAGGTAGAATGAAACGCATAACGAGGACTGACTTGATTATCAGCTAAGACATAGACGGTGAATCCATAATTGAAGGCTCAGACATCGATCCATGACCATTACATTCCATGGTGGACACTCAGACCGCCATGGGGTTAAAAGTTGGCATTATAAAGTACCAGATACGTAACGAAGAGAGAAGGACGTGCATGAATTTTGATCCAATACCAAACCGCGCAATTTTGCTCGGTTCACGTAGTAGCGTAGATTCAGAGATATCTACGAAACTTTCGCCATCAATTTGTAAGCAGATCCACTTGAATACAACATAATCCTGGGCCGGAAATGAGGGCTGGAAAGCTTTATCGCTTGCTCCTCATAGGTTGGTTGCTGTGAAGTATATATCTGCATTTGCAGCGATGAATTGATTCATGATCATTTCTAATGGTTAAATTATTTTACTCGTATTAGCTACACTAGACTGCATCCCTCGGTATATTTAAAGTATACTGCTATAGTAGATTCAATCCAAACGTACTTGATCTACGTCGTGGTGAAAGTGGCAACGGTGGCTCCAATAGTACTACATTCTCCCTGAACCGTCATCATAATCATCATCAGCAACTTCTGCTTGACTTTTGGACCACATCAGCTGCATCGATGGATGGATATGAGGTCGTGTGCAAAGGAGCCGGAGGCTAAGCAGTGTATACACTGCTGTTTGGATCGATCGGTTTCATGTACACAACAGCAGCAGGGTCGTAAAAGTGCCCACTGGAATATTTGCTCGAACAGGAAAATGAGTACGAAGAGAATCACTCGCTTCAGATTATCGACCGATAATGTACGGAGCTGGGGTGTTGCGGTAGTCGGTATCGGAACGGCCCGATGCTGAGTCCCCATCGAACTCGTCAGATCGGTGATAGTCCACGGACTCTCGTTGCGGGCTCAGAGGGCTGTAATGCCGCGGAGCTCGATTGTGATTGGGCGTGAACATGGGGGAGAAAGGGGTCGGGGTGAACGTCGGGGGGTTGGGACTGAACGGAGCGCGATTGCGATTGAAGCCCGTGTTGTAAGGAGTGAAGGGCGAACACAGACCGTTGTCCGGCCGCGGCTGGGTGTACAGCGGGGGACTGAAGTCGAAGGAGTCTTGCAGCTGAGGGCTGGGGGTGAAAGGAGACGGCGCGTAGGTTTGCCGCAGAGAGAGGAGGCTGGGGGAGTAAGCTGGAGATGAGACGGCGCTCAGAGGCTGTTGGCATGTGAAGCCTTGGAGTAGTCGTCTTACGTCTCCCATCGAAGGCCGGGTGTCAGCACGGATACGAGTACACATCATGGCAACTTGGGCGCAGCGACTCATCTGGTTCCTGTCATAGACGCCGTTGAGTCGGGGGTCAACCAGCTCAGATAGCTCGCCTTCTTTGGCCAGCACTTGCATCCATTCTGACACTCGCTGCCTGGAAGATGGTCGCTGCGAAGCTTTCGTCTCCATCGTACAGCGCCCACTGATCAGAACAAATAGCAACATACCGAAGCTGAAGACATCGCTTTTCTCAGTCAATTTGCCAGTCAATGCGTACTCTGGATCGAGAAACCCCTGTGTCCCTACAACTATTGTTGTCACGTGACTCTGATCGGTCAACGCAACTTTGGCGAGTCCAAAGTCACCTACACGTGCGTTGTACTTGTCATCCAGCAAGATCTGCGCAATGGACACCAGGTGGAAGATTTGTGGTTAGGGCTTCGTACATCTGCCAATATGTAACGCAATGTCCAAGTAGCTCTTAAAAATTCGCACAAATAGAACAGGTATACGCATGTACTGGCAAGCAAAGAGAGCAGTCAGTACAAATGATCGAGAGGTAAGGCGGCTGGTACATTTGAGGGTTTGATGTCCCTGTGTATAATCTTCGGGGAACACTTCTCGTGCAAAAATTCCAATCCACTGGCAGCTCCAAGAGCCACTCGAAACCTGAGCTCCCATGGAAATGCTCCGTCTCTTTCATCGAGCAGAGCATCAAGCACACTTCCATTGGGCATGTAGTCGTACACCAAAATGCGCTCCGATCCCAAAGCAGACTTGCAGTACCCGAGTAGGCTAACTACGTTAGGATGCTTTATAGTGCCTATGATCAAAACTTCATTCCAGAACTCGACATCTCCTTGAGTCGAACCCTTCTCCAGTTGTTTGATTGCAACGTGGGTTCCATCTGCCAGTTGCCCTTTGAAAACTAACCCAAAGCCTCCCGAACCCAAAAGCCTCTTCTGACTAAACTTGTTGGTGGCAGTTTCCAGTTCTTGGTAAGTAAAATGCTTACATTCGGTGTAAAGACTTGAGGTGAAACATGGTTCACTTGAGCAATGATCTTCTACCATGGCTTTTCCCCTTGCACGCATCACCAAACAGTACATCAAGATCACAATGATCACAGTGCAGATGGATACAACTGTTGAGACCATAATGAGAAGCGTCCGGCGTTGTTGACCCCAGGACTCACAAGCCTGGAGTTTGACGACTGTGTACGCACTGCAAAGCGAAACACTGCGCATGTTGTCCGCCATCTGACAGCCATTTTCTTGCGCGAAACAGTTTTGGTCAAACTTGGCGGTCCAAGCTCCTTTAAATGGAATTGTTCCATTTAAGAAATTTGATGACAGATCGAGAAACAAAATGCTTTGGAAGCTTTCTTTGAGGTTATTCGACACTTCTCCTACAAGACTGTTACCATGGAGATCTCTGCACCAGACGTACGAAGGGTGTGAGTGAGATAAATAATATAATCGCAAGCTTGGGATGTGCACAAATGCAGTGTCTTGAGAGTTTTACAACTGGTCAGTTCACTACTTGACCATTATCTTCTACTTGTTTTGAACTTTTTCAGTCTCGTACTTTTAGCTTGGTTAACTAGTGCACCAGCTACTAAGTTCAGAACCATGAAGCTACGTTGGCCTTGCGAATCACATGGAAACCTCGATAAGATGACTGCTCTAAATGTTTCCTCTTTCGTCCCCATACGATGAGTTTCGTCGAGGATCTAACTTCTTGGATCCCTAGAATAACGCGATAGCCATGTCAATGGGCTTACCCTCTCTGCTGTGAAACAGTTCAGCGACAGGACGACTTACCAGCAACTAAATTAGATATGGAAGAGAGAGGAGAACACGGGAGAACTTACAGTCTCTCAAGATTCACCAAGTTCGACAGTTCCTCTGGTATCTCTCCAGTTAGTCCCTCTACCGCCAGCTTCCTGCAGTCACGTGGGTCGAATCTATCAGAGGAACTGTGAACTGGTAAGAGTAATATAAGCTTTATTTTGGAGCTAATGTGACATCACACCATGCTTAAGCACCAATCTCAACACCTTGCATTTCGAGTTCTCATTTTCTTTTGAACCCAGGGTTGGTTTGGCGTGCCAACTATCCTATTTCAATGAATTGACAATATTTATACCCACAATATTTCAATCCAATGGATCAGCAAAAATTACTAAAGCAAGTTCGCAGTTACTCACAAGCCAACAACAAAACAGGTCGGTTCAGATATAGCGCAGCCAATTGCAGTATCATTCGTCTGGTTACCGGCGCACAGGACACCAGACCAATTCTGCTCGCAAGCGTCCAAGGTTTCATCCCACGAACGCACCTTGGGAGATGACACTTCCCATTTTCTTTTCAGCTGTTTAAGCGCTTGCTCTGCTCGCCCCAAACGCAGAAGATGTGAGCAAATCAGGCGGGAATTTACTATTTTTACCTCTTTATAAGTCAGGGATCAAGGTGGCATTCTAGGAGAAAAAGAAGACAAACAGCTTAGATTCTAACATAGTAAAAAGACCACACAATGAACGCGTGAACGCGTGTAGACCCTAGCACGTGGTGGTACAATTATATGATGCGGTGATCAAGCAAAATTCACCTTCGCTTGGGGTGGCCTCCACTTGCACGTGGAAGAGAAGATAGGAAATGATAACGAACACACACAACGTCATTGCTCGCGTTACCGCATGTGGTCTTCCGACCTGATTCATGAAGGAAATGGATTAGCTTCAGCAGTACAATTTGCGGCCAATGGAGTGGCCTATGCACAGCAGTGGTCTGATATCTCTCATGTTCTGTTGCAGATCTTCCCACTGGATCTGCGAAAGAGAGGATGCAAGCATTCCAGGCCTTGGTCATATTCTATTCCCCTTCAAGTAGTCCCGTGCTTCATTTCGGCAAGTTGCCTCTTGTTCAGTTTAGTTGTCATAGTGAAAACAGAAACTCGGCATATTCGTCTCACGAAAAACGAAATCGTTCATTGAATTTCACAGACTGACTCTTCGTAAAGAAACACGAAAGGATAGAATAAACTCCCATAGACCAAATCGCCGTCTCTTGATTCCTTACAGCTCTTGATACCTAGCGACGAAGTGCTCGGTCTCCTCTCGAAAGCAAATTACTTATGTGTTGACAGGTACAATAATTTGCCCACATTATTTTTCCGAAAGACGGTCGATACAACACACGGACTACATTTATTTCATTCATAACATAGTGTTTCCTTCAGAGATTCATAACAGTGGCAGGCGTCATACGTAAGAATCCGACTTGTTCGATCTATGCAATTTGTTCCCAAGGCGGCTTGATTACAATTCGCGCACACGACAGACTTTCTCAAACGACTGACTGACATAGATAGAGAAAAAATTCACAGCTTCACCCAAAGATGAAGGAGGACGGTGTTGCATGCTTACCCCTTTCTCAATGCGCAATCTACGAGATATCCTCGTTGATTCGGATCCCCTGTGGATTTAAATTCTTTTGGCGGATCTAGAATCGTAGTCGAGCCGATCGCCGCTGGGCATTTGATCTCCAACGAAAGAAGCCAGCCCGCAGTGCTGCAACCTTCAGATCCTAACTCCTCGCGAACGTCCAGCAATGTACATTCTACGAGTCGCAATCCATTCACGCCTCACGAATTTTCCAATTAAGTCGTTGTCACCCGCATTGAGACACTGGCATGGATCTGGCTTCCTCCTCTCCAATCCATTCGAAACCGGCCACCGGGAAATTCCACGCTATTTCTCTCGGAATCACAGGCTCCTACGGACCTCCGCGACAAGGCATACAATGCAACGACAAATTCCATACTAGACCTGTTCCGGACATTCAAGAATCGTCATAACATCTCGATCAATGCGATCGTCACACTGAAACTCATAAGCAGAGGAAACCAAATCAAGCAAAGTCATGTCTAAAGGAAGCTCTAGCGATTCTCTGCCCCCGCTACTCAGGAATTAAAGCCTTTAGACCGCAAGGATTGACCGATCGGTTCCGTAAATTCGAGCAATGTTCAACGCGTTCACAGAAACACGGACTAAGATCTAATTCTTATCGAATGGATCCATTAATCATAAACATATCCAGGTGTTGATCGGTCCCCTGTTGCCTATGGATGGCTGCGCAGAGCAAATATCGCACGAGGCTGAGTGGCTACTGTGGTCGTATGTGGCAGTAAGGTACATGTACAGCAATATTTGGGAAGCGCGGCGCGGGCGGAGTTGCAGCGGCAGCGGATCAAAGGAGCGTCGAGATCGTGCGATCACTAGCGCATAACGTTCATACCTGCTGCCTACGCCACAGGCCTCGGCTCCTTCACCAGCTAGTGAGGCGGCGAAGGTCAGTCCGGTCGACATGGCGTTCGGCCCCACGCTGAGAAGTCGAGCATTACCGCCAATACCCCGTGACATTCCGTCGCTCTTCCTCCTGTCCCGAGGCGGGCAGAGCCCCATGGCAAGCCGGCGATGGTGTCTGTCGGCCCATCGTGCCGCTCATGCGTCTGGATCTGCGGCGGCTCCGCCGTCCGTTCAAGCGACGGAGATTTCACGTCCGGCTGTTCAGTGGGTTCTCGCCTCGGACAGACCAAACTCAGGTAACGAGATTACAGGTGGTGCGAGCTCGCCGGTCCCTTACCTCTACCTCGTCGATGCGGCCAACGTGGTGGGCCCGCGGCCGGAACCTCTGTACAGGACAACTGTGCTGTGCTGTTCCCAGAACGGCGTGCTGCTGATGTACTGTGTCGTGCTGTTCTTGTCGTTTTCATTGGGGGCCAGTGACTCACGGAGTCGATTGTCTCTTCGATATTTTGCACGTACAATTCTAGCAGCCCGGACATTTATTGGAAAAGGCAGAAACACTACATCTGATCGAGTGCATCCCACCTCAAGGGATTACGGATTCCTGAACTCCACCGGGACTCCCTCCTGCCATTGAACTGGGTACTGTGTTTCAAAAACAAAATAAAAAATCTCATAAGCTGTCTCTTCGTGACCTGCTGAATAACGACTTCATGGATCATGGTCATACGCTACTCAGAGCTGATCTGTATCTTACGTGCAGAACTCACGGCCTCGACAAGATTAGTTCAGTTCACGTTGAGAAACTTTTCCATGTTTATTTGATCGCATCTCTTCGTGGCTCACTTGACAACCGAAGTCAGAAAGTGGACAAGTATGTAGTCTTACTATGTTACACTATCCACATTTTCGAAGCAAGTTTGTTTAAGTCTTTCGATCAGTTCAACACTTGGACAATATTAGTGGAGTGTCGCTTAGACATGTTCATCGTATGTACTTATGGTCACTAGAGATTTTCTACCAAAGAACGAAACGCCCGTCGCCTGACAGTTCGAAGTGCTGATTTCGAGTGTTTTGGTTTGTAGCTCCGGTCTGTGACATGCAGTATCTATACTTTCGTGTTTTTTCCAAGGTGATTCTTTTCGACTCCTTTTTTCCTCTTTGACCACACTTGCCTGCCATAGTGTTACACCAACATAGGAAGTACAGGATTTGAGGTTTAGAAGTTACATCTTCATGCACCTCTAACTGCAAATGTGACGCTTCGAAATTCTCGAACTTCTTTCTGTCAAAATTCTCTTTGCTACATAATTTGAAAGATGTACAGTACATGCTTGTTTATCCAAAAATGTCCTGCCATGCTTCATGATGTTGAATCATGGTTAGACGTCGTATGGAATGCATCGTGGCCTTAGTTTTTTGAAAGTCATAAGACTCGACAAAGATCGATGATATGATGGTTTTCGCCGTTTCGCCATTGAACTATAGGCTCAAAGTATTTTGAGAGTTGTTGTTCTTTTGATTTTTGTTTCAATCGATCACTTGAGGTAATTTTAATATTGAGCTTAGTAAACACGTACTTCAGCAGATGTGCAAAATCCTTGTGGAATCCTGATAATTGTGCTTATCAGGTTCTTGCCACTGATGTTAATGTGAGCCTACAACATAGCAGATATAACGAAAGAATATCATATTCTCAGTAGGACTACATATGTATTTTTCAAACTTTTAAGTTGAGGCTAAATATTTCTTACAAGTAATATTCATTTACAATCATGAAGATGTATTCCTTCATTAATTTTCTTTATATGGCTAATATTTCAATTAAGATCTTAAAAAAATCGTACATTGCTTGTGTGTATCATTTATTCATCCGCCTTAAGAATAGACTGATAATAATAATTTTTAAGAAATCGTATTTCTTCATCATGATAATGTCTAGATATTCTCATAAGGATACTATTTTGCTACAAGAGTTTCTAAAAATTTTCATTTCAATTTTCTGTTGAGTATTTTGAGGCAAATTTTTTAAATTTTTACTATATCATTAAAGAATAGTTTCAAATTTTGTTACCTAAGTTCTCAAAATAATTTCTATATTTTTTTTGTTGTATCACAAGAGCAATATGGATGAAACTGTTGACTATATTATTATCGGATATTCTATCTCATCTATCAAATTGCTCTAAGGCAATTTGATAGATGAGATAGAATATCCTAAGACTCTGAATCTATAGAATGAATTCTCTTTTCCATCTAGCTCTTACCTCTTAAAACTTCATAACCTTGAATAGCAAAACTATGATTATTGTAGCAAGTTCGAGACCATTAATGCATCCCACGACTCTGTGTATGTATGAATTTAATTAGTATCACTAAACATAAAAAGTATCATAATCAATATTCCATATATACAATTCCTTCGTATTTTATCCAATTTCATCGTACTTTATCTTAGACGAGCTTCTAACATCATGTATACTGCGATTTAATACACGAAAGCAAGAATAATAGTTGTACTCTTGTTCACGGTTGTATTTACTCCAAGTTTTTGGATTTTTATCTTTCCATCACGATATAATAACATGGTATTAATAAACAAATAAATACATTCTCTTTAGTGTTCAAAAATTGCAAAAATTAATGACTCCGAATCAACCAATCGTCATGTTGTATGGAGAGAAACCTCATGTTACTCTTTCTCTTCAAAAATCAGTAGATGCCAAGTTCTCTAACCCATCGATGTCCTGGTGGTATACAAGCAACTTGACCTTATAAGGCGATCTTTGATCCGGATAATATCTTTGAGGATCAAATCGCTCTTGGTTCAATTATGTTCAGTGTTGCAAATTTCTACTACATTGTAATTTAATCGTAGTCCATTTGCATGATTTTCACATTCAAAATCATAATCAGCGAGAGAGTCACCAAGCAAATTATAGTGAGTGAGTCCCCAAACTAACCAATTTAAACATATCCAATGTTCTCACTCAAAGCATGTCGGCCCTAACTTGAAACTCACACCCACTAGTGACAATTTCGCTAACAATGGCCCTTTCAATTCCAGTCTGATTCTTGTTTTACCAAATTTTTGCGTTGATATATTTCTCAACAAAGCAGACCTCGAAAAAATAATCCTATACAACATTAGTGCACTCAGAAACTCTCTTGTCTCCTCCAGCATTTGTTTTTCTACAAATTGCTTAAATCTCAAGTCCACACCACCGCCCACCATCTGCAATGCTCCTCTCCGTATGCCACACATGCCTATCGTCTTGCTCCTTCGTTGCTTGGCAGTCTGCAGAGTTTTGGGTCAACACTTTCAAAAATGTGTTGAACTGTTCCACTATGGTCTTTATCATCGTTCCGACTATTTTTATCACCACCTCTACTGCTCATTGCTGCGACGATGTCTATCATCTTATTTTCCACCACTAGTTCTACTTTCCCTTCTTCTTCGGCTTCGATTGTCTAGTGTGGCTCTTAACTTTTTTCATAAATATAAGCACAACAAGCTTCTAACCACTTGATTTTTCAAGCTCAAGAAATTGTAAAAGATCATTTCTTCACTTTCAAACACTATTTATTCACTGGATAATCGTTATAACTCCTCTTTATCATATTCTCTTTACCTAAACTACTTTCCGTAGGGGGGGCAAGAGTTCAAATTTTAAGTGATTTTTTAGTTAACATGTGCTTGGAAACTTGCAAAGATACAAATAATTTGATTTTTCCTTCAAAAGTTTCAGCTCAAAGATTTCGGGGAAAAAATTATTTGAAAAGTTAATTAGGTCTATTTTTCTTTCATAATGGTCTATCATTTGATTCTCTCCAAAAGTTTTTTGGAGTTTCTTCTCATCAACATCGTCCTTTATCACCGTTTCATACGTAGTATGCAGGTAAATAGAAAGATATTAAAAAAATAAAATGAAAATTTTTGTTTTTAATTGTGAACTATTATATTTCCTATATTGCTCCTTCAACTATAGTCTAGTGTATTGCACCCCGTGAAAATCCAAGATAATAAGATTGTAGTGTGTAGTTTATTTTGATTATTTTTAAACACTCACATCATATTTTTGAGTTCAATTAATCTTCATCTTTGATAGCCAATTTATAATTTTCCTACAAATACTGTAAGAAGCAATACAATCCGGTCTTTAGATTGTGTGCTTAAGTTAAAAGTTTTCACTTGTAATTTAGAATATACCGATTTTAATTTATATTTGAATAAAAATTTCAATGTGAATTGATGCTACATCTCATTTGATTCAAAATTTTTTTAACATATTGTAAATTATGTAGTCTAATTTTTATTTTCAGCCTTAAAACTATGACATCAAAGTTTTTTTTGACTCAAGTGCACACACTTACAAGCTGATTATGTCATGATTTTTTTCTAATTTTATTTTTAATATTTAAAAAATTTTCAAATGTCATATCATAAGTCTTTAAAAAGAATTAATAATCTTTGAACATTCTAAAGTTTGATGTCTTCTCCTGAACTTCTAGACATCACTTTAAATTTTTGTGTAAATAAAGAATTTTTTCTGCTAACATTGAATTATTTTTTGATTTATTTATTTATTTATTTATTAAATATTTTATACAATATTTATTTCAAAAAATATAGCAATTTTAAATTTTCGAATTCTAATTTATTCAATTCATAGAAAAAATTTGATTCAAGTTGGATTGATCTAATATTCTAATTTGTATTGATGAGGTATTTTTTAGTTGAATCAACCTATCAATTTAAAATAAACTTATGCATTTTATTTTCTTCTTGATTATTTTTTCTTATTATAAAATTATTTCTGCAATGGCATAAAATTTGTGCTTAAAATTATTAAATAACAGAAACAAAAAAAAAATCAACATCATCTCATAATATACAAATTAACTTATTCAAAAAGCTTTTATGAAAATTTATAAGAAATTTTTTATATC